CAGATTTTCATTTGATATAATAAATGAAGATATGGTATTAATAACCGGATGAGATTTGAAACACAGTTTATTACTCGTGACCATATCAGGGTATTTACATAACTTCTTCATTTACTTTGGATAGTTTTACTCCTGTCCCTATTTTGATATGAATATGCGTAAAGAAATGCACTTGAAACGCTATACAGTTAATAACACGCTGTAATCACTGTGTGTAATTGCAACTCTACGCAATTCTACGGACAAAGCATAGAATGACAATCAAATCTGTACTTTACCTTCATCGACTCCGAGAATGCCTTCGACGGGGATGAACGAGAAGTAATTTGAAAACCACCTCAAGACTACGGCGGGCAGTGCCCAAATCTTGATCGACCTCATTCAACATCTGGCTATATGACAATACCACGGTGTGTCAGGTGATCCACAACAGAAAACTCTGTGGGGCGTTCGAAGTCAATACAGGAGTAAGATAGGACTGCTGATTATCACTGATGTGGTGGACTGTACTATGCGTCAGTCTGTGCGTCGGGAGTGAGAAGACAGGAATACGCTGGGCAAAAGAGAAGACTCTAGAACGTCTGGACTTCGCATGTGGATAATTTATATTGAATTTCACACAAACTAGAAGACTTACAGGTAGAAACCGAAAAACTGGCTGAAGATGCAGGCAGCAAAGACATGACATCGAATGAACATAGAGAAGATGGAGGTGATGAAGTTAACCAACAGCAACAGCAACAACAACCAGTACCAATTATCATCAGCTGGAGAAATTTACCATGGGTTACCTCCTTCACTTATCCGACTAGGAATCCCAGTTTCAACCACAGGCGACGGAACGGATGAAGATGTCAATGCCAGTCGGAATCGAAAAAGCCAGATACGCCTTCATCAACCTGAAACCAGTTTGGAAATCTTCTGGACTCCTCAGCATAAAGAACAAGATTCGGATTTTCAACACAAATTTGAAGTCAGTCGGTAAGGTCTTCTATACGAGTCAGAAACATGCATAGCGTGTGGGTCACGAGAAGGATTTACAACAAGTTACAGACTTTTATCAGCATCTGCCACCTTCACTGGCTGGCTCCATGCAGAAGATCAAGTGGCCGGCCAACCAGCCAGAAAGAATAAGCACCGAGAATCTCTAGCAACAAACCAACAACAGGTAAGAGCCGATTGCTCGACAAATATGTAAGAGAAAATGGATATGGATCGGGCACACGTTAAGGAGACTGTCAAATGATATCGCGCGCAGTTCAAGTCATCTCTCGATTGGAATCGGAATGGGAATCGACAATTGGGTCGTCGGTGAGAGGGTGACATGGAGGAGATCATGTAGCGAGGAGGAGGAGGAGGTGACAGATTATGGTCAGTCGTAGGCCCGGCTGAAGAGGACAGTAGAGAACAGAACAAGCCCTATATTCATTCCACTCGGAACCCAAGGGAATTATAATAAAAATACTGTGCAATATCAAATAAAATTATGCGATACAGAATTTTATTTTACCATTTTTCCAAAATACCACCACCTGATTTATTTTGCGTAACAATCAATCGTGTATGTGTTGAAGTCTAAGGTTATTTAAATTGGTGTCCCCTTATTTCAACCTACAAATGTAAGCTTTAGAAAATGATCGTTTTGTATTTTTTAAAATTTTCACCCTTACATTCCTAGTGGAACTTAGGGTTTCAAGCCTGAGCTTTGAAGGCTCATTATCAGTGGTTTTTTATTTTACGGGCTTACAACTAGCCGGCTGAGAATCGAACTCCAAACCACGTGCGGTGTGATTGGCAAGCATTCTACTGCTGGAGGAAATATATTGAGATGCATTTAGTAGGCAAATTATTAAGGTGAAACTTATTTCCAATTATCTCTTTATAAGTAACTTAGTAGTGCACCAACGGACCAACCAAGGATCTGATGATATTAAGTAGTCGAAGGCAATCGACAAGAAGCCTTGGACCTAGGTTTCATGCTAGTTGGCACCCGTCAACAGGGCGTATCTGCAACCTTGAAAGAACTAATGTCCCTTCTTAGGTTTGAACTTGGGTCACCCAGTGCTGCAGTCAGAGACTTTACCACAGGGCAGTTTGGGCTAGTGATTGACTTTCTGTAGGACTGTACTGGATACTTTGGTCGGACACTAGTAACTAGTGTGATGTGTCTATTTCTTTCAAATCAATGTTCACCGTGATGCCGAGCTACCCAAAAATTGTGGCCACATTGCAAATCTGACTGATAGAATTCAGTCTGTACTAAAGAAAGGACAAGACGCATTACACTAGTTACTTGTGTCCAATCAATCAAAGCAACCAAGAATCGATTGCTCAAAACCAACATAAAAATGGAAGTGGAGACAGATTATAATATGCACGAAAGGAGACCAGTCAGTGATTTCACACACTGTGTTAACCGTCAAGTGTAACCATAGCAGGGAACAACAAGTTGGGCATGCTTCCCAAGATGATGTGTAGGAGGTCATATGATGAAGAGATAATGGGATTTTATAGGCAATCGTACATTTAGCTGAAATAATAACATCCTTCTTGTTCTATCAAGAAGAATTACCAATTACTAAATATAGGGAATCAGAGAAATAGACAACAAAAAATAAATTGACGTCATTCTAACTTCACTTGTATTTTGATAAAGAAAACAAACAGTGTGCAGTAACAACAGCGGTAAAGGGTAGTGAAAATGGCGCTATATTTTTATTTTTCATAACTAGAACCTTGGCGACTGTAAAGATATAAAAATGACTTACATTTATATACCAAAGTAAGTGTTAAAATAAAGAAGAGTTAAAGAACAGTAGGATATATGTATATATATATATATATAGACGGATGCATAATTGAAGAAGAGAATAGGATTTATCAATATCCTAGAAAACCGGCTGTTTTTCTTTAGAAACTGGGCAATAAAATGAAGCGGAGTAAACTGAATTACAACAACAACAACAACAACGACAACCATTCAGATGTTGTTTTCTTCTGCGTTTAATTCTAAATACTTATTCCGCATGTCTACACGTTGATTGGTGTCTTTATGTGCATAGCGAAAACACTTTATTATCTTTGTTGAAGACAGAGACTACCTTTGTTACTGCTTGAGATTTGTATTTTGTTCTATTCGATTGGGTTTCTAGTTTTTTTTCTTTTCGTCCTTCCAAATATTTTGTTTTATGAAAGTACAAAGGATGAGAATATTGTTACTATTATTTTTTGTTGTTGTTGTTGAAGAATTCAAATTAAAAGATGTCATAAAAACTTGATTGTTCAATGTGTTTTGTGGATTTTATATATGCCGCAGTGGAGAAACATTTTTAAGTAAGAATTTTCACATGTATTATTATTACTGTTTGCTTTAATTCCTAGAGGAACATAGGGCTTCAGCCGTGCGTCTTCACCGCGTTCGGTTCTCTGCTAGAGTCTTCACCTGGCTCCATGTCTGCCCACACGTTTTCATCTCCTCTTCACATGGCCTCCTACAAGTCACCCTTGCACTGACGACCAACTCGTCGCTTCCCTTTCGGGCTCCACTCGAGCAATGGCTTGTCTAGTGATGTCACTTGATTGTTTCCTCAGAGTATGGCCAGCTAATCCATCTCCATTTCTTCCTGCCTATTTGTTTCACAATCGGTTCCTACTGGGTTGCTTCGCTCATTGCCCAAGATCTCTGTTGCTGATCTTTTCTGACCGGCCATCTGATCTTGAGTATTGAGCGAAGACAACTGTTAATGAAGGTCTGTAGTTTGTTTGAGATTTTCACGTGTATTTGCCTGTAACTTGTTGTTAAATAGTTTATAGGCTCTAGAAACGTTAACAGTCTTACTCAAAACAGCAATAATATGTAAATATATGCCATTTGTCACAAAGATTTTACAATGAATGATGATGCATTATATTATATTAAAATCCTCTTTGGATTCTGAGCGAAACATACGGGAGTTGAGCAACACAGCATTAATTTACTCTGTAATAGGCAGTTATTTGTTTACATCTGGCACCACGATTGCTCATATGCTTTCATCTTCTTCCAACATTATCTCCTCCACTCCATCCCTCGAACGAATGCTCAAATTGTCGTTTTCTTCAACTGGGTTATACTCAAAGATCAATGTGGTACATGTCATTTCAATCAACGGTCTCTTTAGTACACGTCCAATCCATCACCACTTCATTCTGCACATTTTTTGGGTAATAGATTCTTCGTCGGTTCACTATACTGCTAGAGTTTTTTGTTGTTAATTGTTTCCGACCAACCCTCTCATGTTCACTATCGAGGGAAGACAATAGCCTGCTGGAAATGATTTTCGTAAGGAACATAGTAAATCTCTGAATCACATAAAAGCACTGGTTGGACATTAGTGTTCACAATCTAAATCTTTTTCTTAATGCTGACTGTAGCAGATTTCTACATCGATTTCAGAGTAATGAACTCTGATTTTATCTTTTCTATTCTATCTTTGACACCAACACCCGGTGCACTCTGTAGTTGAAATGGTTTTGTTTAGATAGGTGAAAGAGGTCACCTCCTTTGTATTTCTCTGATTGATGGTGATTGATTCCTTCTTGTCATCCATCCGTCTTCTGTTTATATTCACTCGAATTTATGTCTTCTCTGCCTGTTCTCGCAACCAGTTGATATTCGCCTGTAGATCTTTGATTTCGTGTGATGTTATACAAGTAATCCGCGAAGTTCAGACCTTCTAGTGTCTTCTCATCAATTAAACAATAATGCATAGCTACGCATATAAATGCTCTTCAATAAAGGACAGCAATTGCTGGCAAAAATGAGTCAACGAATTAAAAATCATGAGGTTAGTGTCATTTTTTTCTAAGCTTTATATACAGTTGTTTTGTGCTGATCAATACCAACAGATTCTAAGCTGTGTCGGTGGACTTAAAATGTCTTCATATGATATGTTATAACTAAAATGAAGGAATAGACAAAATGTATAAAGGTTTTACGGTTTTCCAAAGTTTTCAAACATCTATGATACTTCTTGTGCGGGAACCTCATTCAGTCTTTGTAAGCGTACATTAACAGACTATACACAAAAAGAAAGAAAAGGCATTTGCGACAATTAGTCTAAGTTAGCAAACCATCACTAATTGGAATGTGATTTCGCTTATCTCATGAGTTTCCGAAAGAACGGAATACGTGTCCTGCATTCTAATACCAACCAAAACCGGTTGAATTACACCAAATGGTATTCAGAGATCAGAGATTTACGCGTTTCATATATCTGAAAATTCATTCCTGTAGTAAAATTTTGCTAAATTGATTAGAAGATCATGCCAGGTGAAATGCATGAACCCACTTGAAAAAAATAAAACAAGAACCAATCGCCCAACAAATATGCAGGAGAAAGTAGAGATGGATTGGACACTCGCTGAGGAGGCCATTGGGTGACATCGCGCGTGAGGCACTTGAGTGGAACCCGAAAGGGAAGCGGCGAGCGGGACGTCCAAGTATGACATGGAGGAGTTCATGTGTAGAAGAGTTGGAACAGTATGGACTAACATGGATGCAAGTGAAAAGTACAGCAGAAGACAGAAGCAAGTGGAGGCGTGCAGATGAAGACCTATGTTCCACTAGGGACCCAAGGGAACAATAATAACAATAATAATAACTTTAAAAAAATGAGGAAGTCAAGGTGCCTGTCTTTGAAATAGACACACATATTAATTATATTAATTCGTTATTTGTTTCATAGCCGTTCACCAGTTGATTTTCAAAACATATACCCCATGAAGTTGTTATTGAAGAATACAATGGGTTTTGTTCGGATTATTTCTCAGTTACTTGACATATCTCAGGTTTTTTAAATCATGGAAAATTCCCATTGTAACATATAGAAAATCAAAACAAATGATTCAGTGAAGAGACTCTTTTCAACGAATTTATCATCAAGCTGTACAATCGTATATATATGGTTTTTAAGAAGTTATATCCGGTGAGGGAATTGAAACATAGGTGTGAATGCATGAAATAATAATAATAATATGAAGTGCAATTAAAACTAAAATGTTTGTGATTATAATCGTAGTTAAAGGTCAAGTGGCAAAGCAAATTAATGTCATATATAGAATAATTCATAGGATGGATAGAACTTGAAAAAGGTGTGCAATTATAAGATTAGTAGACAAATCGAAAAAATAAAAACGTTACGTAATATTGTGTGGAATTTAATAGCATAGAATTTAATGTTGTCAAAAATGAATTGATTTAGAATGACAAGTGGAACAAGTGAAATAATACCGGGGACAATTAAAAATGAGAGTAGTAATAGTAACAATTGACTTAATAAGGAGGAGTATACAAATTGAATAGACAAAAATGAAAAAATGAAAAAATGGAGAGTTGGTAGAGCTGAAGTATGATTGGGGATTCCCATACTTTATTTCACTTGTTCCACTTGTCATTCTAAATCAATTCCTTTATGCAACATTAAATTCTATGCTATTAAATTCCACACAATATTACGTAACGTTTTTATTTTTTCGATTTGTCTACTAATCTTATAATTGCACACCTTTTTCAAGTTCTATCCATCCTATGAATTATTCTATATATGACATTAATTTGCTTTGCCACTTGACCTTTAACTACGATTATAATCACAAACATTTTAGTTTTAATTGCACTTCATATTATTATTATTATTTCATGCATTCACACCTATGTTTCAATTCCCTCACCGGATATAACTTCTTAAAAACCATATATATACGATTGTACAGCTTGATGATAAATTCGTTGAAAAGAGTCTCTTCACTGAATCATTTGTTTTGATTTTCTATATCTCAGGTTAACACTCAGTGCATTTTTATATATAATGTGGCTGCTTTACATTCTTTGGATAGATTTGATTCTTCGGAATGCATACTGGAGGAGCATATCTCTGAGGTATTTATCAATAGAAAATCAAAACAACTGATTCAGTGAAGAGACTCTTTTCAACGAATTTATCATCAAGCTGTACAATCGTATATATATGGGTTTTAAGAAGTTATATCCGGTAAGGGAACTGAATCATAAGTGTGAATGCATAAAATAATAATAATAATATGAAATGCAATTAAAACTAAAATGTTTGTGATTATAATCATAGGTAAATGTCAAGTGGCAAAGCAAACCAATGTCATATATAGAATAATTCATAGGATGGATAGAACATGGAAAGGGTGTGCAATTATAAGATTAGTAGACAAATCGAATAAAATAAAAACGTTACGTAATATTGTGTGAATTTTAATGGCATAGAATTTAATGTTGTAAAAAAGAATTGATTTAGAATGACAAGTGGAACAAGTGAAATAATACCGGGGACATTTATAGTGAGAGTAGTTATAGTAACGTAATAAGGAAGAGTATACAAATTGAATATACAAAAATGAAAAAATGAAAAATTGGTAGAGCTAAAATATGATTGGGGATTACCATACTTTAGCATAGAGGGATTAAGACCATGAAAGTTGGAGGGGTTGAACGAACTTTTTTGTACACAGAGATCTGGCTTTTCTGTTTCGATAGCCAAAGCTTCAGCAATACAGTGGAGCAATAAGAAGCGCGATCATTGAACATCTGGTCGATAATGGTCACCCTATCTCTATAGCCTCCGCCTTTAAAGTCATCTACAAGGCAAAGAGTAACTTACCCAAATCCCTACGTACCCGACTCATCTCTATTGCTGAAGCCATCTTTGGCTATCGAAACAGAAAAGCCAGATCTCTGTATACAGAAAAAGTTCGTCCAACCCCTCCAACTTTCATGGTCTTAATCCCTCTATGCTAAAGTATGGTAATCCCCAATCATATTTTAGCTCTACCAATTTTTCATTTTGTCTATTCAATTTGTATAATCTTTCTTTATTGCGTCAATTGTTACTATAACTATTCTCACTTTGAACTGTCCTCGGTATTATTTCACTTGTTCCACTTGTCATTCTAAATCAATTCATTTTTGACAACATTAAATTCTATGCCATTAAAATTCACACAATATTACGTAACGTTTTTATTTTATTCGATTTGTCTACTAATCTTATAATTGCACACCTTTTTCAAGTTCTATCCATCCTATGAATTATTCTATATATGACATTAATTTGCTTTGCCACTTGACATTTACCTATAATTATAATCACAAACATTTTAGTTTTATTGCATTTCATATTATTATTATTATTTTATGCATTCACACTTATGATTCAGTTCCCTTACCGGATATAACTTCTTAAAACCCATATATATATACGACTGTACAACTTGATGATAAATTCGTTGAAAAGTCTCTTCACTGAATCATTTGTTTTGATTTTCTATATGTTACAATGGGAATTTTCCAGTATATATCTATATCTTATAGATTCTAAATGACCAAAAACGAAGACAGAGAGTGAAGGCGTAAACCCACTTCCCACTATTTCCCAAACAGTCAGTCATCCTGGTTAGTCAGGATTGTTTGTTTCTGACATTTCTCCTCAAAAAACATTTTTTTCATCAACGATAAATTAGGCACTTTTTCATAGAGACTATTTCACAATTTATATTTAGATAACAATAATCTCTGATTAAGTACACAAAAATATTACTGATTTCGAATGATAGTGTAAAGTGTGGATTATATTTAGAGGAAAACAAACATAAATCATACCGAAACCTGATTATATATTATGATAAATTTCATAATCCATTTCCAGTACATTCATTTGATACAACAACTTAAGTACGAAGCATTCAGGTAGTCAGTCATTCGTTTGTAAGGTTAGTAGAGATTCTAAATATTTGGGATAGGGTAGAGGGGGGAGGAGAGATTGATAATAGAAGCCCTATTTATCGAATTTCAAGGAAATACATGCAACAGGAATGATTCAGCGACTGTCTCAGAAATTTTGAGAATTCTACTACCCTTAAAACAAATAGGAAGTAAGATAGGGAATTATAAAAATCGAGTTTCTCAGCTGTGTAGTTGCACTTGGTGTGATTATAATAAATAAATAATATGGTAAACTTCATTTAATTAAATAGTATTACTTCACTATATGATATATCCAGTAAACGAATTAGTATAGAATCGCATATTATCGCAATGTTCAGTTTTTGAATGTATACACTGATAAGTTGATAACTCGCAGTTCTTAAGGATGTAGATCTTTTGTTGGATGTAAAAAGACCAATAATAAAACTCTAGAAGACTTGGATTTAGCAAATGACTAATGTCTAATGCTACACAAACTCGATGACCTGCAGACAATTACCAATAAGTTGGCAGAAGAAGTAGGTAAGATACGACTTCAAGCAGACGTAGATTAGACAGAGGTGATGAAGATAACTAACCAACAGGAACAAGCAGTAGTCAGTATCAATGAGTGAAATTTGAACGAGCTCACTTCTCTCACTCTTTTTTTAGGGGGGGGGGCTGCATCGTTTCCATGAGGATATCAAAGTCAGGATTAGAAAAGTGAAATAGATCTTCGCTACCCTGAAATCACTGTGGAAACCTGATACAATCAGCATTAGGAACGAAATCCGGATTTCGAACACTAATGTCAAATCAGTTCTTCTAAATGATTCAGAAACTTGGAGCATCTAACAGGTCACTGCGTGCTTTTATCAACAGATGCCTTTGTTGCTTATTGAAGATCAAATGACTAGAAAAAATTAGCAGCTAGAATATCTGGGAACGAACCAGTCAAGCACTTATTGCCCAACAAATATACTGGTAAAGGTTAAAATGGGACGGACACACGCTGAGGAGACAGTTGGTGACATTAAGCTCCACGCTGGCCCTCGAGTAGAAGGCGAATAGGAAACGGCGAGTTAGGAGTTGGTTCGAGGAATGACACGGAGGAGATAGTGTAAGAAGGATATGCTAGGTTACGGACAATAGTGGAAGCAGATAAACGGAAATGCGGAGAGCAGGATAAACCGGTGATCTGCTGTCGAAGACCACTAAGTTCCATCTGGAACCCAAAGGAGTAATAATAATAGAATAATATAAACTTTATTATAACTGTGTTTGAAGGTATTACTGCTTTGAACGAAAATAAAAGTGAAGTAAATGGTTTTTAGATTTTGAAATAATAAAGATTCGAAGTCGAGGTTTTTGGTGTGTTCTCTGAACTGGATGGTAGTTTAATTGCGAAACTTCCTTTGTCCTTCTAAATAATACCCTCAGAGCTGACTTCATTAGGAAGTTAGCTTTTGGAAATTCTCTATGTCTGTGTCTTTTTTTTGTGAACTTTATTGTAATTCATAATTTATGAACAGTCAAAACTGGTTTTTATTGCTCTGTCAAAATCCTAATCCAACTATTCAGTTTACGTTTGAATCCCAAATATTACTGAAATTCGGATGATAATCAACCTTGGTACCTTCTTATTTAAATGTAGGAGTTCATGAGACTTTGGATGAAACCAATTTCCTGAATTCAAGTTTAGTTCTTTTTTCCTTCTTCGTGTTCCACGTAGAATATAGGGTTTCAGGCTTCAAAGTTTCAGTGGCGGAGTAGTTTATCCCTCCCATCCAACATGTCCATCTCTCCTGAGCTTACTGTCAGCTGTCAAAAATGAAGAGATTTAGGCACATGTCATCTGGGAATCTTACGCGAATCCCCCACTTGGCTGGCGAGCATTCCAACTTTTGTTCTGCAGCAGGTCGGGTATGAGGACAAACACTCGCCGAAGACAATGGCTAGTGGCTGCGCTATATCGTGAATTGGCAGAAGTTAGAATTCATGGGCTATTGGATTGGGTCCCAGTGGCTCAATGGTCTACGAGCTCGCCTTGTAACCAGAAGGTCCTGGGTTCGAACCCCAGTGGGTGCGTACCGATGAAGAGTCCCGAACTAGGATGAAACAGCAGTCCAGTACTCCCAGCTGGCTTTCCAATGGTTCTCTAACCAATGTCAGCTCATGAAGAAATCCTGTAACCAATCAACCAAAACCCTACAAACCAATACTTAAAATCAAATTATTGTCCAACGCAACACAGTTTCTTTTAAAAATTTAGTTGAAATGATACTGAATTACAACATTTTGAGTGAATTAATACCTTCTCGGGTTATTTGTTCGTTCTCAGAGGATAATATAATAGTAATATACATTTTCAAGTATTGGTTGTTTGTATGATTGGTTGGAGGATTTCATCATGAGCTGACATCCGTTCGAGAAGCATTGGAAAACCTGGGTGCGTACTAATGAAAAGTCCCAAACTAGGACGAAGCAACTGTCCAGTACTCCAGTGGTGGTGGTTTTCCAATGCTTCCTCCCCAACTTATGTCAGCTCATGATGAAATCCTTCAACTATTAAATACATTTATAGGTACTTTTTATTTAATCTGATAAGAAACCATGTCTTTTCAGGCTGGTGTGATTGCCGGTGGTTCATGAGTGGTAGAACACTCATGGTCCGGAGTTCATTCTCTGGCTGACGCCCTCCTTAACCTCGGTAAAGACGGAAGGCTGAATTAGAGACTGATAACCCTGACCCAGCAGAAAGTTATTAAACACCACTGCTACTCAGACTTCAAAGCGCAAAGCTTGAAACCCTATATTCCACTCAGAACACAAGAAAATATAATGAAAAAAATATAATAATAATATTAAAAAATTTAATTAAAATAATTTCTGGTTGATAGTCTTAAGACTTACTGATCCAAATCGATGCATTAATAGATATGATTCTGCTGTCGGATTCATTCCAACTGTGTTCAACTTCCATCCAATCAACTATAAGATAGAACAAACAAACAAACAAAAACGATTGAACAGCTAAAAAAGTGTATTTATACTTCAGTGACATAGCAGTAGTATATTACTTTTTTTCCACTTTTTTTCATTTTGAAGAAATTGAAGTATATATATATATATTAAATAATACACTTATTGATTCTTTTGATTAATATTCACAAAACGTTTTACTCGTTTACAAAAGTCAAGCTGTAGAGTATAAATAGAAAGCGAATATATATATATATATATATGTACAGGAGTAAGGTTGCTCATATAGTCAAAGGTTTTTCAACAAAACAGTCAAAAAGAAAGAAGAAAAAAAGAAAACACTTCGTGATATGATCTTAATCTTTTCTGCTCACAGTGGAAAGCAGACAACACAACTCTCACTGTTTTACACATCTACCTAATGATATCTGTGAGATAAACAACATCAACATCGACAACAACAACAACAACAACGGCAATAACAAACAAAAAGAAAGGAAACACTCCCGAAACAAGTTCGTTAGTCAGTTAGTTAGTTTATTCTTTCACTTTTCCCGCTGTCTTTTTGATCATAACATATATATTTGTATATTAGAAGAGTAGAAGAAGAGAATGAAGAAAGATACATATCAATTGCTTTATTTTATGTATATCGAATATTGTTTTACTACTTCTATCCTATCTTATCTTATCCTACCCCGTTTACCCCTCCTTTTCAATTATACAATGTGCATAATGATTATAAGAGTTAGTTAGTATAATTAATTAATTTTTGTATCTAAAAAGCAACCATTTAGGATATTGTTGTCAGAAGTAAAAAACATAACACTGCTTCTAGTTGTTAGCCAGCCTACTTCTCTTCTCTTTTCTTTTCTTTTTTTCTGTATTTCACGTTAGGGTATAATACTCCTTTAAAAATGTTGCATGACAATGCTACATTTTATGATATTCTCGTGTTTTCTTAGTTTATCATTTCGCGGTGAACAGAGCTCTTCAACTTGCGGTTTGTACATATATATATATATATATATATATAATCCGTACCATATACGTCAAAATAAAAATATTAACAACTTTTTTCACGTGATATATGTGGATATGTTTACAAAGGATTGGATGTCCCTCCTAGGTTTTGTGTCCCACTTATCGAAATTAAATAAGCTATGTATATTTCTCGAAATTTACTGAAATTTATGATAGATGAGTGAATCTCTTCATATCCGTTCGCACCTTCCATTGATGTAGGCTATTCAGTAATGGCATTATACATCAATGATTCAGTCGAATCAAAAACTCCAACCAAATTTAACCTTGCCACTTGAAAGATAACAAGCGCAATTTTCATCTGCTTTAACTGGTATTCTTTTTTCTTTTTGGTTACAGGATTTTATCATGAGTTGATATCGGCTAGAGAACCATTGTAGAACCGCTAAGCAGTACTGCATGGCTGTTTCGTCCTAGGTTGGGACTCTTCAGAAGTACGCACCCATCGGGATTTGAACCCAATACCTTCCTGTTACAAGGCAAGCTCGTATGGCATTTAACTACTGAGATCTGACCCAATCGCCCATGAATTCTAACTTTTACCAATTCACGAGATAGCGCGACCACTGACCAATGTCATCGGTGAGTACTTGACCTCACAGCCGATCTACTTCACCCCAATGATCAGTGGTTTTATAGAAAAACACAAGATAATGATAGTAGAACAGTGTATAAATTAGCATCATATCAGATTGGCGCACTTGGAGAAACGACACAGCAGATTGATGGAGCAATCAAATGTGTGTGTCCCATAAGACAAAATGAAAATTAGTCTAATTGTTGACAAATTGTCTGAAGACATCTCCACCTACTAACAGTCAGTAATGAAACTGACGTCTGCTTATATGCCTTATATCAACAGCAATGGAATACCTGGATTCCTAGTATGCAATGATTTAGTCAGTTTTAACATTTTGTTTTCTTTCTTCATTCCAATCTTACATAAGGAAACACTAATGTTTCAGAAGAGGAAGGAGTGAATGTAGACATACAAAACCTTAGTCAATGAAGGTTCACAACGTCATCCAAAGATTTTGCTAAACAGTTCTTGTCTATTCTCAACATTAACTACATGAGCATTAATTCGAAGTTACTTGTGGTGAAAACAAAAACACTTCTAGTTTTCTCACTGACTGCCTTGTAGCCATGAAAAGGAGGGGCTGACTGTAGTGCGGTGCACTTGCCTTCTTTTCGTAGACTTTAAAATATCCTAAGAAGCTGCGTGCACGCCAGCTGACCAACAGATTTTTCTTTTTGTGTTTGTGCGCGGAATTCTTCCGTAAGCCGTTAATTTTGGTGTAAAATCTTAGATAATTCAATCATTACACAAAACACTTTTAACTTCACTTTCAATTTTTAATCCTATTTTTCTCCATCATTATAATACCTGAAACATGTGTAAAGAAGAAAACACCGGGGAGATTGAAAGGAATGTTTATTTGATGAAACGTGTATGGTACATTCTCAAACGGCCATTTGCACATCTTTACCACATCCTTGACGAATTGGTCGAATATCGTCTCATTTGATAGCTTCTTGGATTCCGCATCATATGGCAACATTCTTCTCATGGTTCTCTTCTTTGATTGCTCTTTCCAGTGTGCCAGACATATTGTTACTTCGTTTCTGATATACTACTTATATCGGATTATAAGTAGCACTCGCCACACATGTAGTTAGTTTAGGCATCGGTACGACTATTGATAATGAATTTCGAAGTCAAAATTTAAAGTGAAGAACGTTCACTTTAAAAGGTTTGACACAGGAGTATATATATCATTATTATTGTTTTCTTTAATTCCTAGATGAACATGAGGCTTCAGCCGCACGTCTCCATTGCGTTCGGTTCTCTGCCAACGTTTTCACTTGGCTCCACGTCTGCCCACACGTTTTCATCTCCTCTTCATATGACCTCCTCCATGTCACCCTCGGACGACTGACTCACCGCTTCCCATTCGGGTTCCACTCGACAGCCTGCCGTGGGATGTCACTTGATGGTTTTCTCAGAGTATGGACAATCCAATCCACCTCCATTTCTTCCTGCAGATTTGTTGCATAGTCGGTTCCTGGTTGGTTCGCTCCCAGAGATCTCTATTGCTGATCTTTTCTGGCTGGCCATCTGTTCTTGAGTATTGAGCGAAAGTCTGTAGTTCGTTCGAGGTGCCCTTCACGACGCCACAAGTCTCTGATCCATATAGTAGCACTGACTTTACATTGGATATATATATATATGTATATATAGATTAACAGGCCGTTTGTGCAACTCGTAAAAAAAATGTTATTTCCACATCATGAATCATAGATATATTATGAAGTATTGAAGTCAAATACTTAAACACGAAGGTATCCACACTACAGCAGACACTCTGTGCCTGTTTCATCCTAGCCTGAATCTCTTCATCAGTGCACACCCACTGGGGTTCGAACCCAGGACCTTTCGGTTACAAGGCAAGCTGGTAGACCACTCAGCGACCCAATGTCAACCCATGGTTAGACCTGTAACCAATCAAATCCGTGTACACCTGCACTTGGTAATTAATTTGATGCTCATTAGTAGCTGGATCTATACAAGAAGTTACCTGGAGTTCAAGTAAGAAGTCGTGACCAGCGTACTCTACCAAGTCAGGTAAAAGAACAGTTACTCGTCGATGACATTGGCTGGCTATTATGCTTTATGTTTTGCGAAATGGCAGAAGTTGATATTCATAGGCTGGCTATTGGATCCGGAGCTCGCCTTGTAATCGGTAGGTCATGATTTCGAACTCCAGTGGGTGCGTACTGACGAGCTTTCAGAAACTAGGATGAAACATCTGTCCAGTACTTCTTGATCGTCTTTCAATGGTTCTCTAATTGATTTTAACTCATAATCAAACCCGTGATTAGTGATTTAACTGTCTTGTCTTGAAGTCTGTTAATTAATGTGCGCCAAAACCAGTTGGTGGTTAGTTTGCCATATAAACCTATGCAACGTTTGTCCCTTATTCCGGTTATGATAATGAATTACAACAATAACTTAAGAGAAAAAAATACATAAACAACTTTGAGTGTTGATTACAAACATATCATAATATAAAAAAAGCTAAAAATATCTATATACTTACTCTATCACGAAGACTTTCAGACAGACCTGCGCTAGTCCCTGTGCAATGAATTAAAACTGCGCCTAATATTAAATCTTGCCTTAACATCTATAAGAAAGACAATGCAGAAGAATGTCAGTAAGTGTAGTGATGATTAGATAGAAGAATAAATAATAAATGGTGTAATGTAAGGATTAATTTTAGAAAGAAAAAAGAAAGAAAGGAATTGTACACATACCACTAGTCTAACTAGTATATTAGCTCCAGCTCCTTCACCAAATACAACAATATGCTGTAACCTGATAAATAAAAATATTGAGAGAAGTAATATTATCGATTACCTAAGAGCATTGCACACTTCATTCATTCCTTCAGCAAGTTGTTGAACAGTTGGGAATGTGTAGCTTTATCAAGATAAAAAAGATTAAAATATGAATTAGATTTATTAATAAAAGTAAACAGAATAATGAATGAAATATCTAAGCAATAAGAACTTGAATCAAAGAAAAAAGTTGAGATGATAGTTTAACAGACAGTGGAAATGCCAAAACTACAGTCTGATAAATTGGAAGTGAGGCTCATTGGTCTAGACACTCAACTTCCCAATGTTAACTCACATATTCAAAATGCGTTTCTGCCTATGACAGTAGAACTGTTATGATGTCACCACTTTTATGTTTCTTAATAACGTTGATATTGAATAGGGATGCTAAATTTGAGACAGACGCGCTGAAAGCCAGCATCATCATACGTCCAGTCTCACTCTCAGCATACCGTCTTTACCAGGCTCACCACTGGCTCAGGGGATTTAGGAGTGCGTCAGTCGGGGATCTGACTCTGGACTACGTGGGTGGTTGGTAAGCATTTTACCTCTGGACCACCGACGCAGGCATTAGTGGGAGGTGGGATAAGAACTTATACCAGCCCTGTGGACCAGAACCTGAGTCTGGTGCCTTAGACGATTGGCCACTTCCACCTCCCATAGCAAAATATGAAAACTATTCATTAAAACTTCACTTTGCAAATGTTATTGGTAATCTGTTTCTTTTGTTTTCATTTCAGGCTTTGAGTATTTTTACACAGTGTTCTTTATTTATCATCTTTACCACTTCATCTGTCGTGTCGCTACTCATGAAGACATCACCAATCAAATACTCACATATTTTTGTCAGTAGTACGCACCAAACATCAATGAATAGTCAGGTTTGATAGTTAGGCAACATTACCAACCCTTATAGAATAGCTGTGGCCAATTGCTAACTGACTGATAAAGCAACTACTTACTAGGGTGCTTCTTTTTAACTTATGGATAACTTTAGTTTCAATCGACCACCGCGAAAAAATTTATATTTCATTGTGATGTTTGAAAGTTGAGACGACAGAATTATGATATAATTTAACATCAAGAATCATGCAAATAAAGTTGAGTGGACTCAAGCAAAAAAGCTAAGTTTTTGATATTTTGATTCATGATAGAGTAATAACAAGTCTCGCAAAATTACTGTTCTGTATAGTCAGGGATAAAGATTTTCCAACGACTGACAACAGAAATGCGTCAGTCTAACAGTCAGAAGAAAATGAGCTTATTCCCCTGTATTTTTTTCCTTCACGTTCCCCAGTGGAACATAGAGCTCCAAGCTAGTGGCTTGAAGTTTCTGTAGCAGTGTTTATTTTACAGGATGGGGTTACTAGCCTCATGCCCAACCTTTCCTCTGCACTAGCATTATTTCTGGCTTAGCTAAGTAAAGGAGTGCGTCGGCTCGGGATCGAACCCCAGACCATGTGCACGGTCGGCGAGCGTCCTAAACGCTATGCCACCGACGCAGCATTTCCATGTATTGTTGGTCTAAATACTGCCTAGTCTCCTTTTAAATACTTCCCACTTCATTTAACGATGGACGTTTAAAATGTTAGTTGAATGATACACAGAACACCTCTGACTTTTAACTTCATTCGTTGTGAATTTACGTGTTAAGCAGCTTCTTCTGACTAGTGTGTTCATGCTATTGCATTTCTCCTCTATGACCACATCATTTGATTGTGGGACTTGTCTCTTTCAGACTTTCTGTTTCTAATGACCATGTCTCATAAGTGTTCAAAGAAATAGAAACAGTATTTGATTTCAGTACACATGACTTTCTGAGATTTAAGAAGCACAAATTGAATATAAGCAATGAAAACCAGATTTCCAGTCGAAGAAAAACTTATTCTTCAATTGAAAAATAATACACATTTGATTGCAGCGGGTTCGAGACTCGGTGGAAACATCATCACTCACTGGGGAATGCAGGTACGTCCAGATGATGAGTCCCAAATAGGACGAGATGTGCATCCTGGATTCCACTACTAGTCACTATCCACCAGTTAAAATACACATTTGAGTTGATTATTCAGAAATTTTAGAAAGCACTGATAAAATTTACATACATCAGTTATCTTTTATTCTAATCCTTTACGTTCCAAATGGAACATATGGCTTCAAGCTACAACCTTCAAGTTTTTCGGTAGCATTTTTTCAAGTATTGGTTTCTGCAGGGGTTTTGTTTGATTGGTTGGAGGATTTCCTCATGAGCTGATATCTGTTAGAGAACCACTGAAAAACGATCAAGTAGTGTTGGACAGCTGTTTCGTCAGCCCAGTTTGGGACTCTTCATCGCCCTTTGGATCAAGTGGCTTAACGGTCTACGAGCTCGCCTTGTAACCAGAAAGTCCTGGTTCCTAACCCCGGTGGGTGCGTACTGATGAAGAGTCCCAAACTAGGACGAAACAACTGTCCAGTACTCTCAGGTTTTCCAATGGTCCCCAAACTGATGCCAGCTCATGATGAAATCCTCTAACCAAATTTTCCGTAGCAGTTGTTTTATTTTTGCGAGATGGGGTTGTCATACTCAAGTCCAGCCTCCCCTCATTATTAGCTTAGCAAGGTTTAGGAATACGCCGACCAGTGATGGGTCCTCCTGGCCACATACGTGGTTGATAAGCATTCTCCTGTTGAACAACCGACACTGTGTACATCAGTAACAGCGTTAAAAGCATCTTTAGTGTTTATGTTAACAGAACAAGAACGGTTTTACAGTGAACAGTTGTTTTCAATAACTTCTTCAGGCTGTACAGTGATAAAAACATGAATGTTAGAATACAATAGCTAGTTAAAGGCCAATAAAAACTGTATCAGAAACGTTATTGGAGTACAAGTATAAGATGAAATAATAATTCCTATAATTTTACTTATCGTTTCAGTATGCATAAAAATAAATATATAAAATTATTCCACCCTAGGATAATTAAATTTGAAGAAAGTACACAATGATACAGTATCATTATTTACTGATGATGTTTCCAGCACACTTTAATGCTGATAATCATATCAAAACTCTACGATAGTAATGTGCTTTCTAACTTCCTACCAAGTTTTTCAGGCGCACGTAGTGGTTGAACTTAAGATTAGTGGACCACTCGTGAACGGAAGCATAAATGGAGTCAGGAATAATATTAAAAACTGTCCTCTGAAGTAAATAATTTAGGGAAAAAATTCCACTCTGAGTATTTAAGTTGTAATGTTCTGAGCATTTTGATTGCTCTCTCATTTACGAAAAAAGCTCGAATGAAATGTATCACTAACAAGCAGCGTTGCAAGAAACTTTATTATGCAATAACAATACTACTAAAATAAAACAACGTAAATAATTTAATTCTTTTTCATTACAGTCTATTATTCTGTTTTGTTTTCCATTATTGGGTTTGAGCTTAAAGTGCTAGGTAAGGAAGGGAAGTCGGTCAACGAGGTTGTGAAGCTGCATTGACTGAGATGATTAAGACTCAGCCAGCAATCCCTGTTGATTTAGGATTAAGTTAGAAAAGAATTACATGTGATCACGTCAACACCTGGCATTAATCTATAAATCTTTTGACAGTTGTTGTGAGCCATTTAAAGCAGCGTAGACTGCCTAATTGGGTTCCTCCAGATACTAAGTTCCAAAGTCTGTAGATTGTCGGTGATATGGTTCACAACCATTGACACTGTAGCAAATGCATTCACCCTTGTCAGTCTCTCAGATCCATTGAGTCGTCGTATTTTTCCATGTTAATACTCTTTCTCAAGTATATTTCTGCCCATTATAGTTCTTTTCATTTCCATTTTTTCTTTACCTTTGTGTGCTACAGAGAGTGTAGAAACTTGAACTGCTGTATTTTTATGCAAAGTTTCTATGCTGAAACTTGGTCAGTGTTTCAATAGTCTTAAGTATTGGATTATCTGTAAACAAATGTCTCACTGGTTCAAGCACTGAATTTTAGACCAAAGGATCCCTTCTGGATTGAAATACCATAACATTTTAATTCAGCGTGAACAACTAGGTAGGGTATTATCAATAATGGTGCAATGTATGCAGATCATAACCTGATATCTGAGATATCCATTTTGGGTATAAGTAAGTTTTTAATATGTGTTACAGGATTTCATCATGAGCTGACATTGGTTAGAGAACCATTAGAAAACTGACTGAGAGTACTGGATAGGTGTTTCATCTTAGTTTGGGACTCTTCATCAGTACGCATCCACCGGGGTCCGAACTCAGGGGCTTCGGGTTTCAAGACGAGCCCGTAGATCATTAAGCCACTGGGACCCGATCTAATGGCCAGTCCATGAATTCTAACTTCTGCCAATTCACGACATAGCACGACCGCTAGCCAATGTCTTCTACGAGTATTTATCCTCACACCCAACCTGCTTCACCCTACTGGTCACGACTTCCCACTAGAACCCCAGGCAACTACCTGCCTGAATAGGACTAGGACGAAACAGCTGTCCAGTAAGTACTCCCAGCTGGTTTTCCAGTGGTTCTCTAACCAATGTCAGCTCATGATGAAATCCTGTAACCAGTCAATCGAATCCCAACAAACCAATATTTTTATATGTGTATTACTAAGCAATGAGTCGTTTCAGTTTTTTGAAACCTTTACTTATTTATGTGTATTTAAATCAAGAGGTGGATTGGCCATATTCTAAGGAAACTATCAAGTGACATCACTAGACAAGCCATTGCTCGAGTGGAACCCGAAAGGGAAGCGACGAGTTGGTCGTCAGTGCAAGGGTGACTTGGAGGAGGTCATGTCAAGAGGAGATGAAAGCATGTGGGCAGACCTGGAGCCAGGTGAAAACGTTGGCAGAGAACCGAACGCAATGGAGACGTGCATCTGAAGCCCTATGTTCCTCTAGGAATTAAAGGAAACAATAATAATAATAACACTGAAAGTTTTAGCTTTATCATACTAACTGACTTATCAGCCTATTTAAATAAACAAGAAAAATTAAATGTTAGTTGTTCAGTGTATATATAAATGTATACAAGAATCTCAGTAGCAGTAATCAATTGAAGATTAAAAACACATACACGCACACGCACATACACACTGGCAATATTGACTTACTCAGGTGGTAAATCAGATTCTCCATCACCTTGTCCTGGAACATCAACATGTACCCAAGTACATCGATTAGCTAATGGTTCCATAGATTCATGAGCAAGAAAATTAACCATCTCATTGTCTAGTTAAATAACAAATAAATAAATAAATAAATGCATAAAAGTTTGACTATTAACCTACGATTACAACCAAGATCATGAACTGTTAAGAAGGCGACATTAGCATTTCTTGGACCCTGAGAAGGAAAAAAGGAAAATGATTTGTATTCATTCATTCAATGGAATGAGAAAAACCTACTTGAATGAATACATTAAGCTTTCCACAGTTTTCAGTGTTAACAACTTCTTGTTGGATCTAAAAGATAATAAAGTAAACGATTAATAGCGATTAAATAGTGATAATTGTACAGAAAATAGTAGTCTGTAAAAGAATTCACAGTAAATTTTCATTCCAAGTAAGTTCATACGACAATCGTTAACAATCATAAACAAGACTTAGGGAAGTCGATAACAAAAATGTTAAAAGATTGAAGATTTTATCATGTTACAGTATACATGAGAGAACTTTTGAAAGCTGATAGAAAGTAGACAGCTGAGATGATGTACTGAATAATAGCCTAAAAGTACGTAGGACAGTCAGTTCTCCCAACGACCAGATGTAGACTTTTAGCAACAACTGCCTTCTCTGGCTCCATAATGAAGATCAGATGGTCAAAAAGAATTAGAATCAGGAAACTCTGGAAATGAATTAATCTAGAGTATATTGTTCAACAAATATACCGAAGAAAATGAAGGTGGATCAAGTACACGCTAAGAAGACCGTTGGGTGATATGGCGCGACAGACTGAACCTCTTGGGGAACCCACATTGGAAACGATGAGTAGATTGTGTGTCCGAGGATGACATGGAAGGGATCGTGTGAAGAAGAGATAACTGCTTATGGGCTGCCGTGTAGCCAGCAGGATGAAATGGAGATGTTCCATTCGGAACATAAGCATCAGCCCCCAACGGGTTGATCGCTGACAAAATCTCTGCATGGATACAGAAGGTTCGTTTCTCATATGCCAGTTTACGCCACCTTTGGAATAGACGTGATATCCAGCTGGCTGTCGACCAAAGGGCGTGTGTAATACTCAGCAGTCCGCTCCATCCTCCTTTATGGCTGTGAGTGATGCATGGCCACTGAAAGAGGAAGACATGAAAAGACTAACCATCTTTGATCATATATGCCTGCGTTCTATCTCCCGTTTGAAGTGGTACAATAAGGTGAGCAATATTGAGGTTAGGCATTGGTCGAGTGCTAGGTAAGCAGGGGAAATCAGTAGACGTGGTTGTGAAGTTACAACGATTCAGTTGGTTAAGACATGAGTTACGCATGCATCCCGAGCTATTGCCTTCCTCGACTGGCAATGTTAGTTGACCTTGGATGGATCAGGCTGGAAAAGAGCCAGTGGTGGTCAAACCAAAACATGGCACCAGTCAGCGAAATCCACAACAGTTAGTTTAAGCCACGTAGGGAGGTGTAGACTGGCCTCCTGGTTGGGGCCCTCGGGACGGTAAACACCAATGGCTGGAGACAATCGGTGATATGGCTCAAAATCGTTCTCAGTGGCTGGTGCAGATGCATCCACGCCTTGTGACTTATAATTTACAATGAAACTATATGGTTCTTCGTTATTACTATTTCTTTTGTCTCACACCTCTGTTTACTATCTATATTGTGCATTTCTTCTACTTTCTTCTCTTGCTTTGTGTCCTGCATAGAGTGTGGTGACTCGAACTGCTGCACATCAGTGCAAAGTACGATATTGAAATCAGTCCGTAAGTCAGTCCATTCAGATCCCAAGGAAATAATAATAATGTAGAACAGATTGTTTTTTCAATGTATTTGAAACAGCAAATGATTTTCTAACCATTTTTATCTTGATAACGATAATATTGCAGTACTTTTATTTTGGCCTAAACAATATGCATATATATGGTTGACGCAAAGTAAACTTTCTTTTTATCATCGTGAAAAGTGTTTGAAGATGTTTAATTTTAAACAAACTTATTCATTCATTGACTATATTGTTTTCTTTTGAAAGTGGTTATTACCAAAACAAAAAAACGAAAAGTTGATGAACAATAAAACAAATGAAACATCTTTTGAACTGTTTCAATTTTTCACCCAGTTTACTATTTTTTCATGTTATAACAAAACGAAACCATGTATTGGAAATTTAAAAAGAAAGCAGAGAATTGAAAATGGCGGACAAAATGATATAGAAAGGAAATAAAATAGAAAAAAAACAACCAGAGATGTAGCTAAATCTCTAGTGGATTCACTCATCACTTTACACACAAGCATTAACTTATTTATACTTCAAAATGAGGTTCCATTGATACCAGTAGAAAAATCTGTTATTATTATTATTACATACAGGTTTGTAGACTCGTAGTAAAGATAATGTGGGAAATACTTTTAATGCAAAGTATCTTTACTATCATAGTGACTTTTAGATTTATTTCCAATATACTAGTTAGTCCCTCGCCTTTTTCTTTTTTCTGTGAATAAACAACCATAAACAACAATTTCTGTGATAAAATCGTGAAGAGTAAGTGCTTCAGTAAATAATTATCGTTAGATGATGATGCAGATATATAGTCTTTGAATGACACATCTCGCTGGTGCCTCAAATTAAACAAGTCTACCAAATACATATGTATATATATACAGATAGAGAGAGAGTGGTAATGGAAACATCAGCCTGTCCTGGAAAGGATTATTCTAGATGGGATCTTATTTACAGTACAGAGGTGATAGGATAAGTCATATGACTAGTTTATAAAGTAAATATCTGCCTGTTATGCCTTACTTTTTATGTAAACACAGTGAATTGACAGTTAAAATCTCTGCCATATAAACAGTAAATGAGCTACAAAACTATACGAAGAAGTTTTCTTTTTTCATTGCATACACAATATAATTATAATTATCTAAAGTTAATTAGATTAACTAAAAACTAAAGGTTGAATAACCTTTGTAAGGAATAAATTTTATCATGGTATTTTCATTATTTAAACTTATGTTTTTGTTTTAAGTTTTGATAAAACAGCATTTCAATCAGAATACCAAAATCGGGAGTTTTAAGTTTCTTATTTTAGACTAAAAACATCTCAGTAAGATAACACACAGGAGCAGGAGTGACAGGCTTTTACATTCATCCTTAGGTACTTAAAATAGAGCAATAAATAAACTTTAAAGCAGTCGTACTGATAATCTGTTACCATGACTTTACCCTAAGGTCTATCTGTGATTAATTTTTAAACTATTTACAGGAATTTTTAAGAAACTGTTACGTTACGTTTAATAACTTTTGTCCGTTATTCGTTCAACTTGGCTCCAAAAGCTTCAAAACAGGGTAATCCTTTGGATGTTAGTGCTAATTAACGTCTTTTGAGTAAAAGTACAGGCTTAGTATACAATGCAAGCCTAAATCACTTTTACAAGTACTTAACCAATTGTTTGACATATATACAGATACTGTCTAGAATGTGAAATGTTAAGAAAAATTGGCTTTAAACAGTCTTTTAGCTCAACATTAAAACATTTCAGCATATATCACCTGTTGATGACAGTCAGAGTAATATCAAGGGAGAACACGACCAAAGATGTATAAAAAGAAAATTTCATTAGCAGTATTAATTTAATCCATGAATAATAGATTAGTAGTGGGAAGAAAGTACTATTGCAGTAATAGCTGTTACTTTTAACGTACAAGCTTGTGGTAAAGTGAAGTAAATGGCTATTTAATTTTAGAGACATGCTATATTGAAGCTGCAGATTCAACCTCATTTCAGGTCGAAGCTTCTAAGTCGCTATTGAACTTTTTTGAGTTAATGGCAGTAAATTTTGACTTCCATTTGACTGTGATATATAATAATCGGTACTTTAATGTAATAGGATTCTACAGTAGTTTGAGACAGACTGACGTTTTCTGTGTAACGGAGGAAACACTTCATCCTCTCAAAGTAATATGGTTAGCAAATGAATTCTACCTGAGATGCAATAAAGCACAAGAATAATTTAGTTACTTGGTGTTTTATTGACATAATTTAGAAACACAAGCAGTGAAAATATTGTTTTAAGAACACATAAAATGCTGGATGCATTTATGAGGGATTTAAGAAATATTACATGGTGTCGGTATTTACTTCAATATTTTAGGGTTGATCATGGCATTCACCTGACATGCCAAGCCACGGTGGATTGTGGTGTTATCAGCCCCGCAAGAACAAACACCTTGTTATATTTGTATCAGGAGTAGAGAATGAGATTGTTATAGCATAAAACTAAAATATTCAAAACCGTATGGATTTGTGAATTAAAGAGCTTCCACTAAATCTCAACAGACGAAGATGTAGTTTTGTCAGAATTATCCCGATAAAGTCGATAAAACAAGGTAGAAAGGTAAGTGGGCACCAAATTCAAAATTGAAACCATCCTCACAATTCACCACATTTATAATTAATGACACCCATTCTGGGTTTATGTCACATTTTCTTATATCATGCAACATGTAATACTTTCGTCAAAAGAAATTCAAACACTTTATTATTCAGGTATGGCGTTGAACAAAAATGTATAAGTAGTTGGATCTGAGTGTAATTTATGCATGGTTTAAGGAGTATTTCCTTTAGGAACCGTGATCATATGCACTTCTATGTATATAACTGATTTGAAGCTAGTAAAATGGGATTTACAGACTTTCACTTTGAGTTCTTAAGCAACCTTCCAGTCTCATGGTGAGGTAAAATTCCTAAGGTATGCAACGCTCACAGAGAAGTTTATTGGTTTCTATAAGCTCTGGATGCAAGCATCTTGATATATCCCTTGCTTTCATTACTTACCTTTGTTTTCAGCATTTAAATTGTGGTTTGTAAGCACATTAAATGAAATTCAGCAAAATTACTGATAACTAAACCATTAAACCGTCTAAAGACCCTTAAGGCCACCAGTGACTAATTAGGTGCATTTTAAAAATTAAGAGAAGTTTCTTAAGCTTGATTGATAGCTAAAAATATAAATTCGAAGTCATTCTGCAGGTGAAATTACTTTCGAAATGTGTCTGCAACTTTGTGTTCACTCAATTTGTTGAATTTAGCAACAATAAGTGCAGCATTTTCAATTCAAATGCATGCTTCTAGATGACCTTTCCGATGAATGTTTGCTTTATGAAAAAATAGGATGAAACTACACCTCTTAAATCAGTTGAAAATAATAGTAGCTACTCTAATTTATGAGCTATCAAGACATATTAAGTTAAATTAATGACTTCGGAACACTGATAAATAAAACTAATAGTTGTAGACTTCTTATTTAGAATTCATGTGGCATCTTCATTCCACGTTTTCTTTCAGTATGGTTGATTGATTTTCCTAAGTGAGTCGCAATAACCACTTACGCAAAACTGTAATATCAATCATTGCTGGGAAATTCAATTCATTAGTTTATGCATGAATATATTTGGTCCCAGTAATTCGTCACATTTCACATTTTAGTAAGATAAATGAACCAGAAGTAGGTAAAAGGTACTCCAAATTAAACAATAGAACTCAGTTAACTCGTTAAATCAAGAATCTGCAAGCTGTATTAGTTTAAATTTTCACGGAAACTATTTTTCCTAAGAGCGAAAGTATATCTACAACAACAACTGCCTAAGAGAATCTTAATTATTGTACTGAAATTATATACTTGTGACTTTAACAGTCAGTAAACTTTGAGCATTCGCAGCAATCTTAGATTGTTTGTTTTGCATGTTTATCAAACTGGGGAAGGGAGCTTAAAAGCAGCTGAAATCAGGAATTGGCCATGGTTCTATTAAATCAATAACCATTTAGCTTTCCAGGCAACAAACTTAAAATTTAGTGTCTCCAGTATACTTAAAACCGAACAAGGAACAGAACTTAGCGTGAAACTAAGAATATCGTAATATCTCAACACATGAGAGCTATAAACTCAAAATTTTCAGGATGACATATGTTCTGTGCAAATGAAATATTTGCACTCACAGTCCTTCGACAAAGCAATCAGTCTGTATATAAATAAGATACTTAAAAAGAAGACTTTCAGAATAGTAATTTGCTGTAAGCATCCAAAGACAGCGATTACATTATCTTCGGCAAGTAGGAATTTGTACTCATGGAATTGAAAGCCAACAGGAAGTCACTCATTTACCAACCTAAGGGATAAAACCTAAGTAAATTATTGAAGTGCAAAATTTATATGATGGAGAGAATACGCTATCACAAGAAATTCAAAGGAATAAGTAGTCTGTGTTATTTACCAACAGCTTCTCAAAGGCAAGTAACACCTAAAAGGTTCAGCGAGAGATAGATCACAAAACTGTGAGGCTCACTGAACATCTTTCAACGGAAGAAGAGAAAAAAAGAACGCTGCAAGCAAGACCGAGGATTTATGTATCCTTACTTTTTGTTAGTTCTTGAAAAACTCCTGAAAAGTTTGATATGATTATTACTTAGGTAACATCATAGACGATTTTCGATGTAGTTTTCACACTGCCTGCAATGTTATCTTCTTTCCAGTCTAACCCCAATTATTTCCGAACTCAGAGTCTTAATCGAGAGCTTAGAATGTAGCCATCGACTCTGGCATAAGAAAGCCTTTAAACTGAACCGCTTTTCGAGTAGACTATCATGCACATATATGTGCGAATAAAACAGCAGATTTCAATTGATACAAATTCTAAAGAAGTGTAGGAAACAGAAATCACTCAGTGATTTATGAGAAAAGTTTCATGAAAACATAATAATAATAGTAACAGATTTGTGCTGAAAGATAAGTTCATACACAGTATAGCTGAAATAATATCTCATTCTCTTTTCTTTAATATTATGGCAAGTATATAAACAATCATGTCTGCCGAACTCACTGTCGTCATTATCAGCTGAAACACAAAATAGATTTGAATACTTGCTCGATTTGTAACAAAGTCATTGACGCAATTAAACAAATGTACCGTAGTTGTGGGGGTTGAAGATTGTTAAGTGTAGATACCAGCTGTAAGCGAAGTGTTTCAGTGAATTATAGTTTTGAGTCAAATTGAAGGCAATCTGAAAGAACCTTGCCACTTCGGCCAGGCAGGACTGACCACGTATTATTCCACCAGAAGTTAGGAATATTTCTATCAACTTGAGGGTTCAGGAAAGTCCACATTTTATCCAATATCAGTGAAAGGACAATGCATATAGATGTCATTTAAGAGTGAATTGGTTCAGCTTTTTCAACTGGTATTTACCATAGTAGATATTACGATGAAAGGGTAGGGGAAAAAGACTTCCAGAGTTACCTAGTGGGTTACTGGCCATCATCGTAAAGAAATATCTTTACAACAAATTTAAAAATCTCCCTGATATGTCTCGAATTTCAAAGGAATACACTAGCCTTAATATCACCCTAATCATTTGAAAGTATTTCGCAACTCATCACTCCTCTACTAGTATGTGAACTAACAAGTTGAATGAGACAGAGAATACTTCCTACTAATTCCGCTGGTCAGGTTTCAAAAACATATTTCGCTTACATTCCTGTTATTGTTGGTCCTAATATCAAAGGGTATAGTTTCCTGAGGTTGACCAGTAATATTCACTTATTTGTGATTATAGACAGCTCAAGCCACCAAAAAGTAATTATTTACCACTTCTGGGCTATCTTAACAACACACTACCATTTTGCTGGTCTTAGGCTGATCCCACCAGCGGCTTATCTGCATCGATTTGAAAGAGAGAAGCATTCAGATACCCAACCTGTTTGACATTTAAGTGGAAATTAAAGTAATATAAGTGTGTGCTAATATTTGGTATGGGTGGGAAAGAATCATGCAATTCGTGCCATCCCATTATGCGTCCTCTCATACTGCGACAAAACACGCAATTGAATCCTTGCAGACTTTGCTTTATCTAGATTTTCCACTCGTAGAGTTTCATTCATTATTCGTGAGACGTGGTTTTATTCACGTCGCCTGTTTCGAGGATGAAAATAATGTTGTACCTGAAGTCACCGAGTTTAAATCATCTTTAGGGAAATGTAGCCCCAATAGGATCTATCGTACATTAGTAGGAATAGTTTCGAGATCAACTCGCATAACACGAAATATATGAAAACAGATGATGCAAGAACAGTAAACCTGTAATTTCAAATACACGAATATGAGGGTTTCTAGCTCAGGTTAAACCAATAAAAGTGCATATCCCATGCACTAAAGTCGCTGGCTTTTAGTATTTTGACTGTTCTTAAACCAATTAGTCAGAGCGTGCTGGACAAAAAGACAGTGTTTTCAGTCAAATGTGTGTTCTATCAGCATGCTGGTGGATAAGTAATGCTCTGAGTAGTAAATGTTCAAAATGGGGCTGATGCAAATCATTCAGTAACAATCCGCACCATTTGTTTCCAGATCTACAGGGTGCGAGTATGATTTCTGAGGATTATTATAATAAACGGATGATGCCTCAAGTTGCTGAGACCTGTTTTTCTTACATCCAGTCTCATGTATATTAATAGACGGGTGCCAAAGTGACAAAAGGTGATGTTTGTTGGTTTCTAAGCTTTGAGTTTGGGAAGATGGATTGTAATCTGATAAAAATAAGAGTCAAGTAAAGCACTGGTTGGAACAATGTGAATTGCTGTGTGACTGGGCGTTTTATACTGCGAAAGCAGTGAACTAAGTCACTAAGGGAAGCAAAAACGGTGAAATAATACTAGAAACTACCAAATTGAAGATAAGAATAATAGTTCTAAGAAAAACGATACAGAGATTCAGTTTGAAAAGTAATTCAGCAAGAATTTAAAGGAACGTTCCGGAGAAAATCTTCATTTACATATGCCAGATTAACTTTACTTATGGAGTACACATTGATTTGAGCAAACGACGCTTCAGGACAGCGTAACAGTGACGAATGCCGATTGTGTATTAGGTAACCTCCCAGTAGTTATTAACTTCCGAAGTATGCCAGGAATGATGTTTACTGACAGGGGAAGAAATCCATTTTATCCGGTAGAGGACAAAATCACTACCCTAAGAGTGTTCCTGGATTTTTTGATTTATGACGGTTGAATGCATGTTGGGAGAGCAGTAGGAGAAACTGATGGCATTGAGGGCTTGAAAGAAACAGAGGTACTTCGCACAGCAGACAAATTGTAATTTCTGAAAATGTATCTTGTGATTAGTAAGTAAGATTGAATCTTTTGGACTCCGGTCGAGATATAGATCTGGTGATGTTCGCTACCATTTTATTATATGCTCAACTTTGGGGGAGGCAGTGAAAACAAGAAGCAAGATTTTGACGACGCTAATTTCGGAAGGAAAAGGGAGGGTGTAGCTGAGAAGAGGCAGGAAGAATACACAGCATGCTTTCTTTTGGTGTCTTCCTTCGTTCAGTAGTTTGCTTGTCACATAACACATCGGATACAAATACTCTAGATTTAGCCGCTAAATAAAGGTAAATCAGACCGACAATCTTAGAGGATTCGCTTTCAAACGTAGTTTGACGCAGGGTCTTTATGCCTCACGTAACATAATGTAAACGCTTGGGTCACTCAGGACGCTGTAAGTGACTAAATTTCTCTCCATTTGAAGGTACTGGAGTATGAATGCGTTTTACTAGGTCTGCCCACATCACTTGCCCACCATCGTGTTTACCAAATATACATTCAACACCACCTGTCATTTTCTTATTTTGTGTGCACTACTGCTCAGTATTTAGGACGGATATTGTGATACAGGTGTCAGTTACTAGACTACTTCTGCCCATCCTCTGTCTAATTAAGGATGCCTCATGCATCATGAACGACGTTTCTGATAGAAGCTCTTCATTTGAAGATATTTTACTATTTCTTCGTGTTTTCAAATAGTGGTCACATTTAGTCGAAATACACTAGTTTCATACTCATAAACACTGTTTCGCCCTGATTTTGTCCCATCTCTGGAAACAAAGTAGCAGCAACCAATTTAATGTGGTTAGCACGATTTATGGCGGTCTTCTGAATAATTTCGAAACTTCTGTGAGTCCCACAAGGAGGGAACTTCCATTTTAACCTTATCAGAGCACCATTTAGTTCGAACAGATGTGTGGTACTGTAGAGTAATAATGGGTTATATCATCAAAAGTAAAATACACCTCGGTTATACCGCCTGACAGCCATGCAGCACAGACGTTTCTCTCGTACAAAATACGTACCAGATAGCTAACACAGTTAATCAGGCACTACTGTGGAATACCTGGTAATCAGCAGGAACATACCTGAAACGTAGGATCGAAATTCTACAAGGCTGAGTAAAAGTGAGCGAAACGCGTTCGCAGCTGACAGCTAAAATTCAGATGGTCATTCCATAACGTAACAATGGTTCACTCAAACAAAGTGTGGTAGTGTTATGTACTCGTCGTCAATAAGTTATGGGGTCGTTGCCGATATTAGGGTGTGACCGAGTGTAATTATACGCTAAGAGATATAAAGGACGATAATGTACAGACTGGTACTGCTGAGTACTTAATTTGTCCTGACGCGAAGAAGACAAATACATAAATCCACAGTTCCCGTTGTATACACTCAGTAGAGATTGCAGCCGACAAAGTAATGCATTTAAAGGATATGCATACTTCCTATAATCACGGCGACACTGCGGAATATATCAAAATCGCGGAGTAATCAAACCCAACACGCGATGTTATTAACTGAATCCGAAAGGCAAACAAGTTGTAGTACGTATTTGAATATTCATCCATACGTTGATCATGACGACAAATCCAAATCACTACTTATACAGCGCAAATAAACCTGGATATCTATGAAATAACGAAAATATGCTGACAGTTGCATTTCAGATCCCAATGACTCATTCGACAGCAAAATTCTGCTCCTGCATGCCTCTTTCGACATTTTTGTATGGATTGGTTCGCAGTTACTCAGGTTCCAGACCGAAACGTATCAAAAATTCAACGGCTGCTGAATTATTAATACTTCTCTGCATGTTTAACTGGATTATAACTGCTGTGGTGAGCCTTTTGCAGATTATATTGCTTGAAACATCGTTTACGGTAAACTAACTAACGTTTCAAAAGCCATTTTTATACTTTTGTGAGTAACCCACCATATCGAGCGAATGTTACGCAACACTCAGTTGTTACGCTCATGTTCAACCAATTCAAACAATAATTGTGCCTAGGATTATGCCATATAAACTGTTTTAACTTATGCAGAGTGTACTTACGGTCAATATTTAATTATCTTTCCTTGTATATATATATATCTTGTTTTAGTGAAAAATTTTAAACATGTTTACTCCATGTGTGCATTATTATCATATTGATGATGCCTGTCAACTGGAGTCCCTCAAGTGCATAAATTGGGAATATATTATTGTAAGACGCATATTATTCTTTTATGAGGGAATTGACTTCAAGCTTTATTTATTTTCCCAAGTATCTGTAATCCATCCAACGCATACTTGGGTTTTTTTTGCTAATGCGAAGTCAATATCTCAATATTTCTTGATGTGTTCCATTGAATCACCAGTTACCCGATTTTTCCCACAAACCAAAGATAAAATGACAGCAACCATGTTATTTAACCGTAGTCCATGTAATCTAAATATATAACTTAAATAATACTTATTCATGCCTATACAACTTGTGTGTCCTATATTTGTAGGAATAAATATGTACCTTATTATATTATCATCAATAACTATACTTTCTAATCGTATGTGTAATTTATCGAATTGATGATGCCTGTAAACTGGCGTCCCTCATGTAAAAATATGAGAATATACTATTATTATTAGAAGACCAGCACGTTCACGATGATATGTGTATTTTCCACAAGGGAAATTAACTTTCACACTAAGTGTGAGTGGAATTACCAAACAGTAGGAGAGGTGTGAAGAGAGAGAGAGAGTGAGAAAGTGTACAATTCA